CGAGGGGGCGGCTGCCCTGATCTTGATGAGCGAGGCTCCAGGCAAGGCAGCTCACCAGTGCCCCCGCCCCACACGCCCGCCACTTTTAGGCTTTCTTCTTCTACTTAATTCTAATCCATTTTTAAAATACTGAAATACCAGCAAAATAACCTAAGTAACTCATACAGAATTGACAATTGTTAACACATTGTCCTATTTGTTTCAGAAGTGAAACATCTCAGAGTTGAAATCGCTCTCTCCTCTTCCTTTCTCCTCTCCCCCATCCCTCTCTCCCCAGAGGGTATCCCTATCGTGAACTTTGTGGGTACATTTTTTGATCATTAAATGTCTTTAACACGTATGATACTGTATGCATCGCTTTGTGTTTTCACTTTATCTAAATGGTGTGTTGCATTATCACTCTGCAACCTGCATTGTTTTACACATTTCAGATGTTGGGATCTACTCGTGTCCTTCTTGTACCTGCTGCGTGGTAAGTAGTGTTCCTCCACATGTCCCGTACGTACCAGTCTCTGCTCAGGCGATTCCATTTTGTTGCTAAAAATCTCTTGTATGTGATTATTGCTTCCCATGTATGAGATTATCCTAAGATTTTCTTTTGAGTCTTGGAAGAAGTCTAGTTTGTAAATTCCCATTCCTTAAATTGAAACCCCTGAGAAGTGGCATCTGAGACCCTTATTGGCCAATATGTCACAGACGGCAGCAAGAGTGGGACAGAGCCCCCACTCATACTTCACCAGATCACCCGGGAAGGGGAAGGGTACGCTTCACCAGATCACTCAGCAAGGGGGAGGGGCATGGCACTGTTGTTACTAATAAGAGGGTGCCTTTGGCAGAGCAGAGGTGGGAGCAGGAACCCTGGGACTGGGTGGAGTCAAGGAGCTTTGGCCAAACAGACAGCTCATCCGGCTGGCAGAGAGGTGACAGAGGACCTTCCTGCTCTTCTGTGGTGAAAATTCCCTAACATTGGAGCTAGGTAGGACCTCAGAGATCCTTTACCCCAACTCCTCCACTACACAGAGGCCCAGAGCAGGGAAGGGTCACATCGCAAGTTCTGGACTCGAAACCAGTATCCTTCCCATTTTACCAACAGGACAGGGCCAACCAGGTTCCATTTTCCAAGACCTGGGGTGTGGGGGCACAGCTCCCTGCTCTCCATGGGCCACATGTGTAAGGGAGAGGATGTGGGGAGTGTGCGTGTGTATGTGTAAGGCTGCCTGGTACCTGATACAAATGGGATTCCTTTCTGTGAGCTCTCAGTACTGCTCCATTCAGAGATGATCCCCGTGGGTGGGTGCCTGAGAAGGCAGAGGAACCCCCGCAGGCTCTGTGTGGGCCCCAGGCAGGGATGGGAGAGCTGACCTGCCTCCAGGAATTGCTGGTGGCTGCTGGGTTGAGACCAGAGCTCTGCCTTCAGCTCTCTTTCTCCCTCTGAGGGGACATCAGCAGTCCATGATAACTTCTAATCTCAGATGGGAACCACCCTTTGCAGTCCCATGTTCAGTCCCATCTGTGGAACCTGGAGAACTTTACATTCACTATGAGTCATTCACATGTCCCTCAGGTTAGACCACGTGCAAGCATCACGTTGGGTGCCGAGAAGAGCGGCGAGGTCTCTCACAAAGAACTTGAATCCAGTAGTGGATCCTCAGTTTCCTCTCAGAGGAAGAATGTGGCCCTCCTCCAGGCCTGGCTTGCGCCTTCCCGCTGTGGGAAGCCCTGCAGACCACAGCAAGCCCCTCCTCCAGGCCCGCAGCTGCTCCTCAGTGCTCAGCTGGCTTGGCACTCAGCCTGCACAGCCTAGGGACAGCTCTCGCATTATTTACTTTTTCAGGAGTGAAGGGTTCTTTCTCCAATTATCTTTAGCCCTCCTTCAGGGCGGAGACAGAGTGGAAGCTTCTCTGTACCCACAGAGCGCTAAGCCCAGTGCCAAGAACACAGCAGGCGCTCAATGCATGTTGTTAATAAAAGCAGCTCACAGGGAGCACAGAGGCGACTCTCTGAGCTTGCAGAGGGACGGGGAGGCACAGGGTGGCCACAGGACGTAGACTGGGGTCCCACAACATGGAGATGGGAAGCTAAGTCGACACAACTAGAATCCAAATCTGGTTTCAACCCAAACGTTTTTGTCTCTTAGACTGAGTCAGCTGGTCACCTTGGGGCAAAACGGTGGCCATCTCCTTCACCTCCCAGTCCTGTGCAAAGCTGTGGACCAAGACAAAGAAATAGGAAGCAGAGTCGCTGTTTTCAAGGAGACGACTGAGAGACTAGACAGGTGCAGCTAAATACGAAGAGTACAAGACAGCAGCAGTGTAACGGGAGGCAGGAGCGACCGGCAGGAGTTTGCTGGGTTAGAGCCGACTGGCTCCGCGCCCAGCACAGGGACCTTTTTAACTTTTTCTTTCATATAGAAATGAGGTGAAGACTCTCACTCGACTGTCTGTCTGTTGTGGACTGAATGTTTGTGTCCTCTAAAATGTGTATGTTGAAGCCCTAACCCACAATGTGATGGCACTAAGAAATGGGGTCTGGGAGGCATTTAGGGTTCGATGAGCGCGAGGGTGAGGTCCTCATGACGGGATTAGTGCCCTTATAAGAAGAGCCCAGAGAGCCCTCTCCCTCTCCCGTTCTCTCCCTGCCTCTCCTCCTGCCTTGGGAGGACACAGCAAGAAGGCAGCCAGGAAGAGAAGCCTCACCAGACACCAAAACTGCCAGCACCTTGATCCTGCACTTCCAGCCTCCAGCACCCTGAGAAGTAAAGACGTGTTTAAGCCCTCAGTCTGAGGGATTTTGCTTTAGCAGCCTGAGCAGACTAAGACACTGGCCCCCCAGACGCCCTGGTGAAGATGCTGCCAGGCGGTCAGACCCCTGTTTCTGGCATTGTCTCTTTTCTTCCCTCCTGGTCTCTGCCCACGCGATGCTGAGCCTCAGAGCGTGCAGCCCCCCTCCACACACTGTTCCTGTGGGGCGCCCTCTAATGGAGAGGCCCTGTGGGAAGGCAGGGAGGCCTGGCCCCGCCTCTGGGACAAGCAGCCAGCTCCCTGTCTGGCCCGCCTGCCTGCTATGACTTGTTTGTCCCTTCAGGCAGACTCCCTGAGGACAGGTCCTGTGGCCTGCACAGGTGTGGGTCCCCAGATCGGACCATCAGGTGACATTCGTCAGGACCACACACGGTGCGGCTCTGCCTGTGTTATAGCACCAGGCCCTCAAGGAAGGGTCGCAGGTGGATGGACATGTTCTGTCGCCTGGCTAAGATTTAACCATCCCATGCATCTATTTCCTTACGTGCTGGCCAAGCACAGCTGACACAGACCTCACAGAGCAACTGTCAGGATGGAAGGTCATACAGATGAAAATGCTTGACCACAGCAAAAGAACAATACGCACTGGATGAATTTAAAACCGAAGGACTTGTGAAATCAGAGCAGTGAGGAAAGATACTAGAACAAGATCCCCACAGGTCCTGCGGTTAAAAGAGCAGATCTTCGGGAAAGATTGCCACTGCCGCCCCACAGCCACCTCCCTGTGGCAGGAGGGCTGGGTTCACAGCCACTTGCAGGGCCAGACCCACCTTTGTGCCTTCAGGAGAGCAGCAGGGTCTGCAAAGAAGTGAGGGCAGTCCAGGGGCATCTGCCAGATGGGGCTGGGGGCCCTGGTTGCACGAGGCTGGTGGATGGCCCCCAGCCAGCTCACCAGCAGAGGTCTCTCTGGGACTCATTGAGTGTGTGCCCAGGGTTCACTGACCCCACTGTCAACCTGACTCTCCCCCGAGCCTCTGTCCCTCCCCCCAGTACATTGCCTGATTCAGCTCTCCTTATCTGCAACTGCAGGGCTTGTATTCCTGTCCTTGGCCTCTCCTCCCATTTGCTGCTCTAGATGAGGGTTGGGGCCCAGGGCTGGGGCGGGATGAGCCTGTGAGCTAGTCAATCATCGCAGCCTATCTGCAAACCTCCCAGTGCTCAGTTGGTTGGCCAATGCCTGGAAGGCTCCATGTGCAAAGCTCAGTACATAGTTTCTGAGTGAATGGAGGAGGAGGGGTGAGGGTGAGGGCAGCATGAGGAGAGCTGAGGTGCTGATGGGGAGCAGGGGCCCACGCAGCTCTCAATTAAGTGCACTTGGATCTGTAGAAAGGGAAATGGCCGGCAGGCTGAGTCACTCCACGGAGTGAACAATCGGGAGCAATTCTGCATCCCACCACTCTGGAGGCATCAAAACCCGTCCTGCCCGGCAGCCTTTGGTGTGTAGGTGGTCAGCATGGGGCTGCTGACTGCGCCTTCCCCAGCCGCGCCGGCGGGCAGCTTGTGTCTCAGCAGAGCTGACTGGCACGTCTCCTCAGGATCACCATTACCCACCAGTCCATCCCAACCTGCCCTTCCCTCTCCCCAAAATAAAGCCGGGGTTCCAGGCAAAGCTCACGCAAATTTAACCCCGCTGCTGTTCACACAGGCGCTGCTCCCACCAAGAGAGCAGAAGGCAGGTGAGCCTCATCACCATTCCTGACTGGTGCCCGCAGGGGGCCCACGTGAGCGGGGGCAGACGGGGGAGGGAGCCACTTCTCCTCCCACAAACGGGGCAGCACCTGAAGAACCATAACTCAGATCTGAAACAGGGCGTGGGTGAGACCGCTGGGGAGGGCTGAGGATCTGCGACACTCCCTCCCACCTCAGCAGGCCAGAGATAAGGAGCCCCGGACCAGGCAGGCCCTTGGCGGCAGGGCAGATGGGCCCCCCTACCTGCCTAATGGTTACTGCCCCAGAGCAGAGGCTAAGCGGGTGACTCCGGAAGGGCGAATATGAAGCTGTCAGGTCTGCGCGGAGTGAGTGATGGTCAGATTAACAGGGTCTCAGGGACTGAAACATTGGTTTTACCTGTTCATCATCTTTGTGGCTGCCTACAGTATTCTGAGGTCAGGCTCAGGTTCAGTAGGGTTAGTCTGTGTTAAATGAGTAATGCGGGCCGTGGGCTTGGGAAAGGGAAGTCCAACAAAGCTGACTACCCACCATCTTGACTTGGATGGGAAATGTCTCAAGTCGTCTCAGGAGCTCTGCTTCTGTGGCTCCAACTCTCCAAACCTCGCCCCCTTCCTTGGCCTGCCCCCGGCTCCACACTGAGGTCCTCTCCACTCTCCAGACCAGGTTCCTGGCTCAGAGGAAAATGCAACAGGTGAGCTGCCTGGACTCCATTTCATCCCAGGAGCCAGGGGAGGGAAGCTGCAGGGAGCCGCACTCATGGTGAGCCATCTGAACTGAAGGAAGCTGGAGGGCCCTTTCAAAGGCATCACAGAGACACACACTTAATTTATTCCACCCAGGTATGAAGCCCATCCTAAGATGGCAGGAGCCCTGGGGCAATCAGACGATGAGAAACAGGTTGGCATCAGGTCATAGGTGGACAACAGCACGGAGAAAAGCTTTCAAAGCCCAGAGGTGTTGCTTCAATGCTCCATGATAAGAGGCCCCTGTGGCCCAAAGAGGTGGGGTGACTTGTCCAAGACCACATGCGACGCAGGAGCAGAATGCCACTGGACGCCTGGACTCCCGCCTTGCTGGCCGGTGCTCTCACCACTTACATCTGCTTAACCAGGAGCAAGAAGGGCTGCAGTGGAGATGTTCTATGCTGAGAGGTGCTGCTTTGAAAACACTCAAATCAAAGGAGCCAGACCAAAGATGAAATCAAGTCCCCCACCACACATCCCAGCCACTGCAACTTCACGTGTCATCACCAGCCGTAAGACAGGGACTGAGGCCAGGCAATAAGTGGTATCTTTCCACGAAAAATCAAGGGGAAATTGGAGCCCATACCAAATGGTTAGTGCGAGGGTGTGACAAGTGACAGAGGTAGCAAGACAGAGTAGAAAAAAGAAGACAGAGCAAAAAGCTCTCTACCACCTACAAGACCCCTGGGATAGCTTTGTTTCAGGACTGGGAGGGAGATCTTACCAGAGAAGGCACTGACCCTTCCAGAAGCCGGGCAGGCATGGGAGAAGGATGGAGGGTGGAGAAGCTGGGGGGATGTGTGCATGCTTGTCCTAAAGCAGCTCGCCTTCCCTCCTCGCCTCCCCTCGTCCCACCAGACCACACCGGGAGTATCCAGGGGGTGTGCATGGTGGGGGTGCCTCATAGGTTTCAGAGCTCAGAAGGGGAATGGAATTGGGAAAGCTCAAGGGAAAAGCTCAGATTCCTGACTCTGGATGCTCGAAATGACCTGGTCCCTTAGGGAGTGTGGCTTTCGGTATTTGGAGTCGCCCATGTGCACCTGAGTGTGTTTTGAGTGCTCAAAGACATGGCCTGTCTGTTGGGATCTGTGTACACAACACGGGAACCCCGTGACTGTTCCTGATGAGTCTCTATTGTCCTGAGTTAACCCTCTCTCAGTACCATCTGATGTGTGGCTGGGGAGCGCTGACTTCTGTGTCACCTCTGCCTGGATTTCTCAAGCTCCCTGCGTCCTCCACCAGGGTATGTCCCTCTCGGTGAACTGGGAGCCTCACATCCTGCAAAGCAACCTCTGGTGAGCATCAGGAAAGCCCTGGACCCACCCGGGGTCTGCTGCCCCACCAGCCCCGACAAGGAGATAGGCAGCCTCTCTTCAAAGTCCAAGCGTCCTGCAGGGTTGGCCCAGGGCTGTCCCTAAGTCCCTGACTACTGCCTGTCCACCTCCGCGACACCTTCCTGGTAAAGACTGCAGCTGACAGAACCAGAGGCACATCAGAAAGAGGCCCTGAAGCACAGCATGGAGATGGCAGGACTTGGGGTCACTACAGCTTTGCTCCCCTCCCTCCTTGCACTTCATGCTCCAGGGATGCTGCTGGCTCCTGGCTCCCCAACTTGCCATCTTTGCCTCTCAGTGCTTTTCCACATGCTCTTCCCTCTGCCAGGAACAACCCCCCTGACTGTGGCTGCACCACGGGTAAGTGAACAAGCACCTCTCCCCCACCACGGCCTTCCTCGACTGTGTCGGAGGAAGCAATGCCAGTCCTATGCCCCACTAGGACATCAAACCCAAACCCACAAATACACACGCCCCGCACTCTGCGGGGAAAGAGGGTTAGGCACACGGCTGCTGCTACTGGAGAGCTCAGAGCAGAAGCTGAGATCTGGGCAGGAGGAGGGGACTTCCAGCTGGGGGTTCTTGAAGAACCCTCAGCAACAGTGCCTGTGCTGTGTCCCTGTCAACACTGTTTTGAGCTGGTATAGCACACTGGGTGCCCTCATCACCCAGAACCTCTGTGGACAGTATCTACTTCGTCTGATCTCCATCAGGACTGAATGAACAAGGCAAGGAGAACACGTAACTTAACTCAGCACGCAGCCATCCTAAGCCTCAGTAATGGTTAGCTCTCACCATGCGGTATCCCTGACTTCACTGGTCTTTCAAGGCCACTTCAAATGCTGCCTCCTCTGTGGGGCTTCCCAGACGAATTCAAGGCACGTCAATCTCTAGATCCTCTTTGGCAGTGGTTTTCAAAGTGTGGCCCCCCAGACCAGCAGCGGCAGCAACTTCACCAGGGACCTTGTTAGAAATGCAGATTCTCAGGCCCACCCCACCCAGACTGCTGGGGCCCAAAGATCAGTGTTTGAACGGTCCTCCAGAGGGTCCTGACACAGGCTAAAGTTTGAGAACCACTGTTCTGGTATTTTCTTTATATTCTATCATTGTACTGATCATAGCCTGGCTTGAATTATCATTATAAGCTCCATGAGGGTAGAGACCTTGTCTTATATTTTAAGGAAATGGTGGGTTAATCCTTGTGAATTTGAGTTGAATGAGCATTTTAATTAGATTTCATTGAATAATTCCTAACCTCTAATTCCTCCCCCGCCTCCCCATCCTCTCAACCTTCCCATCCATCCTGGGGATGGGCCTTACCTGTCCTCAGTAAGAGAAGAAGACTACCTACCTCCCCCAAACCCCCACCCCACCCGAGGCAGCCACTTAGGCCTCACGAAATTGACAGTGAGGGTGAAGTAAGGGGAGAGGGCACCTGTGGAGTGTGAGGAAGCTCCAGATATTTAAGAGTTTGGATCAGCAGTATAAAATACCGTCCCTGACCAAGTAATGTTGCAAAGACTTCACAAACCTTCTAGGTGCTTCTTGGGCTGAGCTGTCCTCTCAAAATGCACAATCAGGGCAAGGGAGTCTGGCACTAACCCCCAGCCCACAGATTCTTTCACGACACCCCTGAGCAGCCTGCTTACGGGAACCCATGGCACTGCATCCAGGTGCAAGAGAGCAGGAGGGGTGCGGGCTCCCCCCGCTGTGCTGGTGGCAGGGCTCCCTCCCAGGCCTCTGGCCAGTCTAACTGGAATGTGGCTGACTGTGGCCAAGGAGACAGACATACAGCATAAACATGCTATTTAGCCAACCTGCCAGCCAGATTTGGTGCTCGCTGTGTCCAACCAAAGCCACCGATCTGCAAACATCAGCTTTCCCAGAAACACGGACGCTGCGAGCACAGCACGGGCCATCAGGAGGGTGACCATATTACCTGGACACTTTTAAGAGTGAGAAGGGCACTGGTATTAGTTACAGCAGGACAACAGACATAACGCAGGGAGTACGCTCACCTTAGGTATCAACCACGTGGGCCAGGCCAGGGGCGAGGATGTCGTGATGGGAGGCTGGGTGTCTCTTGGCCCCCTGCCCCTCCCCTCAGCCACTTAGTGTTCTACTGACCACAGGGACACACATAGGGAAGGAATAGGGAGCGGTGAGTCCCAGCTCAATGGACCACTTACTAGGTTCTTTGCCTACAGTGACACTTACGGCGTGGCACCTTATATTTCAAGCACCTTCACGTCGGGTCCTTATCTCTTCTGTCCTCACTACAACCCTGGACAGGTAGTGTAAGACAGGTTCCAGGGGGCACAGGTAGAAGAGCTGATTCTAGAACCCAGGACTTCTGGCTCATAGGCCAGAGCTTATCCAACACCTCACACAGCCTAGTCACAGGGCAGGCAAGGTGAAAGCAGGACTGACATGCCTGGTAGGGCAGACCCAGCTCGTGTCACCTCCCAGTACATGTGTCAGTGGTTGCTTTGACAGGTGGAGAGATCTACCCCTGGAGGGGTGAGCTGCTGGGAGCGCCCGTGCCTTTGGTCAACATTCACAAGCCATGTTTGGTGAGCATTTACTACGGGCACTCATGATCAGGGCTCCACAGATACAGCAGTGACCAGAGCAGAGTCTGCCCTTATCGACATGTAAAATCGCATCAGAAAATGATCCACTGGGCTGGCATTCAAGGCCCTGTACAATCTGACCCAACCTCTCTTCTCACCTCGCCTCCCATTATCACAAGCTACGCCACCTAAGTGCGCTTCCCAACTGATCCGGGTACACAGGGTCAACTCAGGGCGCACTGGGCATCTGCTGTGCCCTTCTTGCCAGCATCCTTGACCATCCTCCAGGGCCTGTCCAGCCCTCTCCCTTCTCCACACCTTTGTCATGTCGCTTCCTCCCATCTGAGGCACAGCCCTCTCCTCTCAGATCCAGCCCTCCCAGGTTTCTCCTGCTTCAGAGACTTGGTATTGCTGAGGAGTGCTTTTGTCAACTAGACAGTAAACTCCCCTTGAGTCCAGATGCTGAGGGGCACACCAAAGACTTAAGATCTCCTAGCAAACCTGGCCGTTACTGCTGCCTTTTGTATTTCTCAAGTCATATCTATTAAAGCTTCTTCACTCTGTAAGCATGTACCCACCTCTGCACCTTACTCCCTGCAGGCCACTTCATCTCTTCATACAGAGACAACTAGAAGCACTGGGAGGAAACTCCCTCAGCTCCCTGAACTCATAACTTACCTGCAGTTGAAGTGGTTCCTGCCTCCTTTGTGCCTGTCACAATGGAATGTCCTCACACCAGGTAGTCCTTCCAGCCGTGGTATGAGTCCATCAACTCCAACCTTCTCAGGGGTCTTGCTCCAAGAATTATGTTCTCTTCCTTCTATTTCTTCATGTTCCTGCTTTCTATTATTCTCTCCCTTGAGCATTTAAACATGCACAAGTCTGCCAACTCAAAAGCAACCACTAGCTCCTGAACTCCATTTTCTCTCCAGGAGCCAGTCTTTCCTCCTGTTCACAGCCCAGCTCTTTGAAAGAGAAGGCCATGCTCACATTGCCACTCGCTCATTTCCCACTTGT